CTAATACCATCACTTTACTTGTAGGAAACTTACTCATCTTTCTCTTCTATTAGATATCATTCTGGTCTATAAGATCAGTAGCATTATTCAGAGTGGATCCAGTGAGCAAGATGTAGAAAACACTCTGGACTCACTGGTAAGGCACTTAGATGTCAGCAAATGGGAAAAATATCCAACCAAACTTTAGTCTATCTCAGTGAAATTTCTAAAGGTGCAGTGGCATGGAGTATATCAAGATATTCCTTTGAAGGTAAAAGATAACTTGTTGAATCTGACCCCTTCACGTGAATGAAGCACAGCATTTAATGGACCTCTTTGGATTTTAGAGGTATATCCTATAACTGATATGAATGTATTATGCCTGCTCATTTGCTACATAATTCCCAAACCTGCTACTCTTGAGTGATACCAGTAAAAAGTAAAAGACAAAGCTTTACAACAGTTCTAGGTTGCTTTGCCAGCTGCAACACCACTTGGATTATATAATCCAATAGATCCAAATTTACTGCAGTTATCAGTGGAGTTGAGGATGACTTGTTCGGAGCCTAGCCAAAACTGACAGATAAATTATAGCATGAGTCCTTGGGGTTTGGGAGCAAAGTATGTTCTATATTCTATAGGTAAGTATTCTTCTTTTAAGAGGAAGCTCTTGGCCTGATTTGCATCATAGCAAAAACTGAGCACTTGTTTATGATGGCTAGTCTTCATTGTCAATGTGATCAGGCTTGAAATAACCTAGGAGATATACCTTTGGCTATGTCTTTGAGAGAATTTCAAGATTCTCTGAGGAAGAAGACTCACCCTGAATGTGGTGAGTTACTTGTAATGTCAGCAAATGGGAAAACTCTCCAACAAAACTTCTGTCTATCCCAGTGAAGCTGGTCCCCAGGTTGAATAAAAAAGTATGTTGAGAAAGATGGCAACTTCATCATTTACCTCTTTCTGACTCCTGACTGACTCCTGACTGTGTATGCAGTGTGAAAAGCAACCTTAGACTCCTTTGTTTCCTACCATGAGGGACTACATCCTCTCAAATCGTGAGATAAAATAAACCTTTTCTTCCTTACATTATTTTTATAGGACATTTTGTCATAGCAACAAGTAAAACAATGAATACAACCACCAAGGCATCACGCACTCTCATGTGTCTTTGTGAATCGAGTGCTGACACGAAGTCATTAATTTGGAATGTACAGTACTTACTGAATTATCAAGTGAAGGTGGTATATAAATTATCGGTCACAACCATCCCTCAAGGCCAAATACTATATATAGTAGGACAAATGTCTGTGGCCTGATGTACTACTTATCTCCTAGCCTGTACTTACAGTCCTAGGAGAAATTCTCTACTATTAGTTGTCAAGTTAACAGAAGACTCTGACATGATTTGTCCATGAACTCATGTTCACAGAATTCACTGGTTGTAGCATGATCAACATCATCCAAAAAGAGCTGCCAAGTGATCAGTGTGGGTGACATTTTAGTTACTCATTTATAGCATCAGCACAGTGGTAACAAGTTTCAGGCCTGGAGCAAAGTCTTTCAGAAAGCTCTATTTCTTCTGAGACTCCCAGAAGCCTGATTCATAGATCCAGGAGTCAAAGGGAAAACACATGGGTAGTAACACTCACTCAGACTCCCAGTGTGACTGGTTCTCACTATCAAGGGGAAGTTATCTGGAACACATCCCTTAGGTCTTATTATTATTATCTCTGATATCTAACATTAATGGAAAATACAACCGCCCAGTCCTGCAGGACTACAAATGGCCCAACTCCTTAAGGAATGAAGGTATGTGCCATCCTGTAAGGAAGCACAACAACCTTGAAGAAGGCAAAAAGGACACAGAGTGAGTAGTGAAGGGCAGTTATGAAGCCCATTGCTGATTACATAATTAGTCCTGACACTTTCCACCTTATTTTGATGCATGTTTGTATGTGTATGTAAATTTTACACCCTTGTTATACATACGTAATGACTTTATTCAACAGTATCTAAATATCATTAATTATATAATACAGTATTCAAATGTTAATTTTATATCACAATATTCAAGTTGTTAGATATTATAGATAAAAGTAATCACCACTCATGGATTTTACTACCTCATCTGGTTCAGTATAGTTTCAAATGAAAGTAGAGTATTTGTACTCAGCTCAATAGATATCTGCAGGGTATCTGTGAAGGACTGGGTCAAGAAAACCACCTCCCAGAGACAAAATCTACAGATGCTCCAGTTTCTTAGCTCAAAAGACATAGAATTGGCACTAGTCAAGCACATCTTCCCCTATACTTTAAATCATTTATAGATTGCTTAAGTAGCTAATATAATGCAAATGCACTGTAAATAGTGGTTATACTATACTATTTAGTGAATAACTGTAAGAAGAAGAAGAAAAAAACGTGTACGATCGTTTTTTTTTCCTTAACACTTCCTATCCATGGTTGGTTGAATTTCCAGATGTGGAAGCAAGAGGGAATACAAGAATCAGCTACACTATGTTACTCAGAGTTATGATCTTGTTATTATCCTTATTTGAAGGTTAAGTATGTCTTAAGGATATACTTTTGGGTTAAGTGATGAGTTATACTTCTTGGGTTTGTTTTGTTGATGTTGTTCCTTTGTTTTGTTTCTCAGTCTTGAGGCTCAAACCTAGGGCCTTGTGCATGCCAGGTAAGTGCTTGGCAGCACTGCTGTACTCCCAGGCCAATGGGCAGGCTTTTAATTCTAAATTTCATGTGTCATTTTCACTAGACCAGAAATCTGGCTAAACATTATTTCTGGATGTGTCTCTGGTGATATTTATGGAAGAGATTAACATTTGAATCAGTAGGCTGAGTAGAGCAGATTGCCCTCCCCAATGTGGGTGGGCATAATTCAATCTGTTGAGTGCCTGAATGGAACAAAAGTGGAGGAAGGGAGTGTTTGCTCTTCTAACTGAGTGTCTGAGCTGCCATGTCAGGCTCTCTTGAACCTGGACTTGGATTTATATCACAAGCACTTGCTACTAACTCTGAGACCCTTAGAATGGGTTGGAATTACGTCATTAGTTCTCCAATTCTCAGGCCTCTTGACTTAGACTAGAACTTAAACTGAGTTCTCCTTTTTCAGGTCTTCTGATTCACAGTGGAAATATACCACCACCTCCAGCTTGCAAATACCAGACTGATTTCTGAAACTCCATGTTTCCCTGAGCCAATTTCCTAATATAAATCTCTTCATATATATAAGTATCTTGTTGGTTCTGTTTCTCCCCAAACCACTGACTAATGCAATCTCCTCCAGTAAGTGAATAAATTGTGGTACATCCAAATAATGGAGTATTATTCAGTACTAAAAAGAAATAAGTTACCAAGCCATGAAAAGATAAAGAGGAGGTAATCATGTGTGTTAATAAGTGAAGAAGTGAAGAAGCCAATCTTAAAAGCTGTGTGAGGACCATGACATGGTCCTATATGATATTGTAATGCTTCATGCACACCACTCTGTATTTCTCCTACCCATAGAATGTACACCACCTACTATGGACTGTAGTGTAAACCATGATCTTCTGTGATAATGTCACTGTTCTGTCATCAATTCTTGACTTATATTTTTATTATTTTTGTGTACATGCACACGTGTGCACACAATGTGTGCCAAGGCACATGCATAGGGATCAGAGGATAGCTACTGGGAATCAGTTCTCTCCTCCATATGAGTCCCAGGGCTGAAACTCGGGCTGTGTCTTGGCAGCAAGCATTTTTGCCTTCTACTCATGATTACTTAATCCTTTTTTAAAAAATAAAATTTTATGGCAATTACTATTTAAATATATTCTTTCTTTCTCCTTCTTACATAGCTTTCCTTCTCACAGTAAATCTTTCATCCTGACATCATTTGTTAATAACATTTTACAAGCAATTTTATTTTGAAAACTCTCTTTTCTAATCTCAGCTTCATAACAGTCTCTTAATCAGAAATGAACAATGTTAGAGACTGAAAACAGTGTACTGATACATAATAAGAAAGTGTTGGATTTGCCAACATTTTTTCCTGCTTCTATACTTTTTCTCTGATCATACATGTATTTTTCTCTTATCATAGGATGATGTCATAGAATATTGTGGGATAAGTTTATCTGTATCCCTATAGTGCAAATGCAATGCCAGCTGCGACTGTCATGTGCGAGAAACAGAGATTCATTACCCAAAGTTGAGATTTAATGGGGCATTTATACCAAGAAGCTCAGTAAATATTGTGAGGACAAATGTCTGTGAGAAAAGTGTTCATGAAAAGTCATGCCTGTCAGGACCTTAACTTTACTACAAATAAAATGAAAACAGAAACCTTTGCCTCCAGATCTGTGGCCAATTAGAAAATATAAGTATAATTTTATATTAATCATAAAATGGGCCATAAATATGGACTATCATAGTAATTAATAATTCTATAATATCTGAATTATAAGAAAAATTTATATAGAGCAAATAAGAAAACATGAAAAAGAGGAAAACACTGGCTATGTTTCTAAGATTTAAACGAAAGTAAGCGTTTATGTATTTTAAAAGCCTTTCATTCCTAAATTCTTTGTAATGTATGGGTGTCTGGTGTGGCACCACAGAGCATAACAACAGTAAAACCTGTCTGAAACAGTAACACAAAGAAAGGAGACAAAAATATGAATAATTTAATCATCTAGGATTCAAGTTGATCCCCAGTTTATTTGCCTTTTATTTTTCATCAGTTAGTAACATGTCCATCGGTTTATCACCAAGGTTAGGCATGCACCTTGAGATGGTCACAAAAGGTACACGATACAAGGGTTTGTAATTAAGTTACATAGTATATTCAGAATCCCAGGGGAACTAATCAATTCTGGAAATATTGATTAAGCAAGATGAAAAACTCTTAACTTTTTCAACTACAGCAGTGTTAAAGACAAGTACACATTTCATTAGCCACAAAGCTCACAAAAAGTAATTGATTAAAGAATATCTCTCTTATGCAAAATAGACATTTTAGGATATAATTTGATAATACTCTACTATATACTGACATTATTTCTTGATAATTTAATAAAAAAATATTCTCATTGCCAGAACTTTATATTTTTAGTATTTATTATTGAGGTAACAATGACAAAAGACTTAAACTATAAGTTCTGTTGGTGAGTTTAAGTTACAGTTTTCCAGAGCTAAACAACTATGTGACTAAAAATGGGTTAGTTTTGATAAGCAGACACTAAAAATTTACAACATAATTGACAAGTTGATAAGTTGTTTGCAGAAGGATGGTACAGTCAATGTTCGTGGATCCAATGAACAAAGCACAAATGAGAAAAAGTAAAACAGACCTATGCTACATCAGTATCGCTGTCTTGTGAAATTCACAGCAAAATACATGACAAGCCCATGAGGAGTCATTCAAAGAATCATGGACCTTACTTGAAGCTTCAGAGATGTTGGTCATGATTTTGGCTTCCTGTGCTATGAGATTGCCAGAAGGTTTGACCCATGCACATGTGTTGGCATTGACAGTTGTTTCAGGGACCCTGGTCAATCTACAAGCAGAACACTCATGTCGAGCACCAAATAGTTCCAGCCACAGATCCGTTCTAATCTTTAAATGCCTCATGAAGATGCAGAATCGATTCCAAGTACAAACTGGTCACATCAGGGCACATTCAGTAGCAGAAGTTGTTTCCAGTACAATCCTTGGTATGGCTAAATTCCACTGCCCCTTTTACAGCAGTCAAAAATCCATGATAAATTCTGTACAACACTGCAGTCAATAACAGCAGCACCAGACAGCACATTAATTCTTTTACTATAAATCTCTGAGTAATTATAACATTTTATGAGTGATGTTATCAAAAGGATCGCTGTATCTCTAAATCTCAGATATTTATGTCTGGGTAAATGCATTGCTTAGATCTCTGACATGCAGCTCATGCGCTGGGACTTAGGAATGGAGACTAACACGTCTTTAGCCAATAATAAATTTGACAATTGTCTTCCTATCAAAAATAAACATGAGAACTGGGAATTCAACAATCTCAAGAATCCTAAGTGCATCGAAATTATTATCTATGCCACAATTCATATTATGGTGCTTTCTTCCCCCACATGCCCAAAATACCAGATACACTATTGCTATGGTATTTGGCAGAGATGTGCAATCAGACTATCTTCCCCCTCAGGCTGAATATGACTCCCTAGGGATTTTTGCTGGAACGTAGTGATGAATTCTGGTTGCTATGTTGTAGGAACTGACACTGCAGTAGGCAACCAAACACAATGGTGAAATTGCTGCTTCAATCCTGTTCATCAAAAAGATTCACAGTGCCGATTAATTTAGATAGTCTTCAGGGCATCATTAATGTATATACAAAGCAGAGAGGCTGCTCCAAATAGCAAAGAAGACAGGGGGTAGGAGTGAGGGAGATCCAGGACTAAACTCTCACATGTCTAGCAAAGCATATCTATGCTTCATGGAGACAGATGGTATATACAGTTAAGACAGGGAGCTAAGACAGACAGATGAAAACAGCATACTGAACAAAGCACCTGATTAAACACAGCCTGGAAACCTGGTTAGTCCTTTGATGCAACTTTTAAGGCTAGTCAAAACAACCCTCCTGTGAACAACAGTGACCTTTGATGGTCACACAAAAACTAATAAAAAGAAAAGGGTAAAAAAGACACAGGAGCTTCGGGTAATATTTGTCACTCTGCCTCTGAAATGATGACAAATTCTAAAATTAAGACAAATGGCTCTAGTACCAAGCAGTAATTCCTGGCTAAACAGTGCAAGCCTGGCTAACAGTTACCTTTCTCTCATGTTTTGTGCCTTCCCCAAGTCATTAAGTAAGAGATCTGGCCTTGGCTTGCGTGTAACCAGTAATGACAACCTCTTTGCAGTTATCTGTGTGTACAAACAACCAAAGACATTCAGAACACCAATAAAACAATTTTTTGAAGAAAAGTAAATTAATCAAGAAATTAAGATACTTAAAACAAATATTTCTATCAAAGAATGGGGGTGTTGGGGAAATATCAAGGAGAAATGCATCCTCCCTGCCCCACAATTCAACATACAGAACAGTCAACCAGTGTGTTCACATCGGCAGGATGGTTAGATGCAAGGACACATTCCTGAGCCATCCATAGTCCTCAGACTCTGTAAAATTTTGTTCAGGTGATACAGACAAGATGGTCCATGTAAATGAGCTGACTGAAGTCATGTTGTGTGCAATCTAGTTAAGATCCCGGACATCTTCTGAATGGTTTAGAGTCACAAGAAGTAAAATTCCAATGAAGTAGTTGGCATTTAGAAGCACATTGTTTAAATATATCTCCCTGAAGACATGGTAGTGTACTAGTGTACTGGCCAATATCTGATACTATTGGTGTTTTATTGCGAAAGGAAATCAGGGCAATTCATATGGAGAAGTAGCACTACTTTAGAGAATCTTTAAAGCCAGGATAAGATCTGTTAGCTACTCAGGTAGCATTTCTGACTTCAAATAGTAGTTTCATGCAGGACTTACACTGTATTAACGGAGCCTGGAGGAACGCTACATGTAATTGTTTCCACGACAGGTTAAACAGTACTTGGACTGATATAATTTAGCCGATTGATGCAGTTTGGTTTACAAGATAGATGGGATGGGAGATCGAGAGCGCCTCAGAGGACAAGGAGAGTTGTAGGGTGATGTTACTGGAGAGACCCTCAGAGCATTACCTGCCATGCTCGCTATGTTGTTTAAGCTTCGGGATTTTTCATATCCTTTTATGAAAAAATGCACAGACATCAGTTGAATTCAACCAGAAAATAGACACAGACAAACAATACCATGCAGGATAATCAAAAGTGCCATTTTTGAGCTCAAAGAATTTGCTTGCAAAGAATTCAATATTGAGACAATTCATACATCTAAAACCTGAAAACTCACTATAGTTGTCATTCTGAAAAGATCAAACCAGCTATTACAAATTACAACTGCAATGCTTTAAAATACATTGCCTCACAGATTATAGTTAGTATTGATACAGTTTTGGCACAGAGACTGCTATAAATTTTAAAAATCAGGCAAAGCAACTTAAGTAAGATATGGACTTAACATTGTTAAATTTCAGAATGTTTCTGAAAATTAAAAATATATTCACTATTTTTCTCTTTTAATTTTCAGCATTAATAACTAGCAGAGCATGCTTAACTTTAAGCGTACAATTGTTTTCAGCATGTGTAGTCTAACTGTAGAGGATTAAAAGGATGATTCTTATAATAATGACATTTTAAGTCATTATTCAAGAGATACAGGATGGAAGGCACATTTTCAGTCACTTAGGTAACAAAATAAAATTAAATAAAGAGGAAGCAAATGAAATGGAAACTGAGTAATAATTTTTGTGCAATAAATTTGAATTTTATTTTGAATTTATTTTCAGATGACTTCATCTCTTTTTCCCACCTTCCAGGAAATGAGGGAAAACAATTTTATACAAAATTTGAAAACTATTTTTGGCCATCGCCATGGACTTAGAGAATGAAACAACTTCTCCAAACTTGAGTCCAGTGGTTTTCCTTAATCACTCAGGCAATACCCCACCAACATCACCTTAGTGGGATTTGCATTATGTAGCATTGTTAGTACAATGTATTAGAGGCGTTTGAATGGGTTGGGGAGTTCCTAGGATGAAGTGTGAGGTGAAAAGGAAGGCAGGACACTGACTACAAATGGAGTCCTATCACACAGCTCCGGAAAGTTATGCTTTGGCAGCTTCAATGAACAGTTACAGGGCAGGAAAGGCAACTTTCTGAAAGGTAACCCACATCAGGGAAATGCATACAACTCCAAGGAACTTCTTGTCTCTTGTCTCCTTTAGACTGTGCAGCATATTCAATGGGCTCTAATTACTATGCTTGCTGGTTAGAGGACAAAAAGAGAATAACAGTCCTTTGTAACTGCTCCTTTTGCTGGAACAGAAGTTATCTATTTGTTTATTTGACTTAGGAGAGGCCAAGACAGATATGTATCTAGAATTAATAATAGCTTCATACCAGGAGAATAATCAGAGAGAAGAATGATGAACATCCCTTCCCCCCACGCACATATATCGCCTTCCAGTAAACTGGCTCTTTTCTAAAGATTTTGTCAATAGACATTTATACCATTCATGAATTATGATAGTGTTTTCTAGGATATATAATTTCTGTTGATTAAAAATTTATCTGCTAATGCTTTGTTAGTATCCTTTATTATAAAATATGACAGAGTGTGAATATTTCATTCTATGCTGCTAGATGATGCAATAGCTAGTGGGAGGATGTTGTAAATATTTTTTTAATTGCAAGTAACTTATCTTTATACAGAAAACTTCATGTTCATGGTAAGCTTTTATTGCTCTCTGTACAGTACTGAAAATAGAACTTTGGGAAATACAGAGAAAAAGATTCCTCCTATGCAGTAGAATTTGATTAGGTAACCTAAAAATGTAAACTAGATTGCAAAAATTAATAAATGTTAATTAAAGGAGTGAATGCGTCAAAGGGGTTGCTAATGCCCCAAGTTCCCTGTAGAACTCTCAGACATGTAATGATCTGTTAGATGGTGTTATATTAATCACACAGTAATATAGGAATCTTGATTGCTATTCTAAATGCTAGCTGTTCTTCTAAATTATAGTTTTCAAAATAAATATTTTTATTTGATTTACAGATCATTTTATTTTTAATATATGTAATTACAATATCCACTTGAAAAGTTTCCTTTCTAATTTAGTAACACATATTTAATTAGTAAAATTATATGTTCTTCAATACATTTAGTTTTCCTTATTCTAAATATTTCTGATTAGAAAATCTGACAATTTATTTTTTGCTTAATCAAGTTTTTACTAGAGTAGCTAAAACTATAAATGAAGGTATAAATATATAAATTATTCATGAGAATACACAAAGTAAAACCTATTTAAAACTAACATCTGAATATACAACTTTTATTTTATTCAGTTCATGTGCTCATTTGGAGCAATGTTAAAACTGCCTACACATGTAGTATACATGGGTATGTTTTAGTTTAGATAATATGCTTTCTTAAAACAAAATATATAAAGAAAAATATTTGTGATTACTCTTCAAAGGAATCCTTAGATTTTCTTAACTCATGCCTGAACATATTCATATTTATACATAAATTAGCAGCAGGAATCCAGTAATTTTAAAATTTAGACAGGAAGAAATTTTAGAACATTAAAATTAATAGAAATGATCAATTTGCAAAGTTAGTGATTGGGTCCTATAGGAAGTAAATGCTTAGGTAAGATACAAGAACTCTGTTATCAATATTCAAGAAGAGTGGAGGGGAAATAAATGGATTTCTGGTCTATCTGAAGGATAAGACAAAAAGAAAAATGGAAAGTTTGCTCAGAAACAATACCATGCATAGTAGTAAAAAACATATAGCTATGAAAGAAATCTGCAGAAATGTGAGAGCATTGATGTGGCAAGGAATGATGAGAAATAAAATGCTCAGATGAGCTAATCAGTTCACAAACAATGTCCTCAATAAAAGAGAAAACTTGCATTTGTGAAATAAAATTGCATGTGTCTTTCCATGCAAACTAAATATCTTATTAACTGCTTTGCTCATGAAAATTGGTAATGTTTTTGAAAATTTGTAATTTTATAGTAAAATTTTATATTAGCATAGTACCTTATAAATTGTAAAGCCTTTCTCAACTGTAATTTCTTTGGACAGTTTAAGATGGAAAATATTGTCTAACATGGGAGAACAATTTTAGCCTGGTCTTTAAACACAATACATTGGAATAAATTGTACATATACTACTTTACTGGGTGATACATAAAATAGATGTAAATAAATGGATATAAATTTAATCACATATACATATAAATGTATATATCTACATAGACATAAGTATGCATTTAGAGACATAGCTGGTTAGATATATATGCACTTAGAAGAGTATGCTGAATTTGAGCTAATATTATCTAATGTATGCACATATATTTTGTTCAAATACTGTAAGATTTTAAGTATCCCCCAAATATTTAAATTTTAACACATACACTAATGTAATATAGTGAACAAGCAGGCTCATTCAGAATTGAAATGCATTTTAGTTCAAGAAACATGTAGATAATGAAATTAACTGGACTAAAGAGGTATTTGAACTATTACGCATCACAAAAGAAAACAAAATGAAGAGTTCTTGGTCTTCTTTTCATTCAGGCCTTAAAACACTGAACAGGGGACAATATGAAATGATCAGAAGCAACAGAAGAATGATACAAAGTAAGTAATGAATATTAGAAAAACAGGGCAGTACAGAATAAATACTCAAGTTTAAAATGCTGATGAATTAGAGGAACTGTGTCGTATAACAAATATGAACATCAATCATATAAGAGCGGGGAACTAATATGAAACCTTTTGAGTGGCTTTCCATTTGAATTTAGTCAATTAGCATAAGAAATCATGTCTTCACCTATTCTAGCATATTCTTTAACAGACACATGCTCAGCCATCTTCATTCAACAAATATTAATCATCTTCTACATGTCAAGTACTGGTTAGTATCCCTTTGAAAACTACTAATGAATTTAAAATTACTCTTATTGGTGGTGAAGAAAAGTTCTATAAGTGTATTTCCAGAGTGCATTATTGACCTTGAAGGTGATTTTTCAATTGCACTTGGCGAGGCATCTTGCACTTTGTGATACTTGAAAAACTATGGGCATAAGTTGCCTGAGTATTGCATATGTGATTTAGAACGTGTTGTGTTTTCATTTTGAAAGAAGAATACCTTATGACTGCTTTATGGTTATCAATTACTTATCAGATATAATAACAGAGCCAGTTGGTGCATATTATTTTAATAAAAAGATAGCTTTTAAAGACTTGAGAGACTGGTTTAATGTTTACATATTTCATTGAAAATCTGCCCATAGACAAATGGCAAACCAATGGGAAGGGGTGGTAAAAGAAGAAAGGGTACATGCCTTTTGTACATGACAATCAAGTAAGGCTCTTAAGTAGATATTATAAAATATTTATAATGGGGAGATGTGATAGAGAGAATAAAAGAACACCACATGCAGACTTTCCTAGAAAATGATGAATGAGCAGTTTGCATCACTCTTAATGTCTTAGTCACTTGCTATGATTTGATTAAATGCATGCCTACCTTTCCCGATCCCTCCATCAGAAGCACACGTGTAATCACCTGTCGTCAATAGGAAACACGTTTCCCCTCTTCTGTTTTTGTCTCTGGTACTAGAGCGTCTGATGGGGAGCCTTTCTGGGGGTGATAATGGTGGCTCACTTCCTGTACTGTCGTCACCTGATAACACTGTCACAGCACCATGCCCATTGACAGACAGTGACGGATGAGGAAATGAGACAATACAGAGAGTTTACAACAGATGCCCAGAGTCCAGCCACTCAATCTACAAACGCAATCATCACATCACAAAAGAAAAAGAATTTTCATCATTCACCACAAAAAAGTTACATGAAATAAAATGGAAATGTATTAAAAAGGAGAGAAACATTCTTTAGGAAATGTTGATGCTTTTTTTTAAGTTTGTCTCATGGATAACTGGCTTTCACACAGGTGACCTGAACTCTGAATAAATGAGATAATGAATTCCTTCACACGTATCATAAAATTTGTTACATAATATTCAGCTACTGTCAGGAGGAGTTGTTAAAAGTAGAGCTTATTTATGACAACCTCTCAAGTAAGTATTTTGTTTGCAGTTCTTTAAGAGGCATGTTTTTATTATTTTCCTAAAAAGCAATTTCCCCTAAAATCTTAATTAAAATATTCACAAAGCCAACAGCTCAAAACTACTTTGAGCATATAGTAGAGCAAGGTCTCCAATGCCCTTGAAATAATCATTTACTTGTTTGCTTGCCAAGACTCACATCCTACACACTAGCTTGAAGTTAGTGTTTGCCAGAGATGAGAGTGTGTCCTCTTTGTTCTTTTCTTAAGGGATCTGCATAGATAAGCTGAAAACAGTCTAATTAGTTCAGCGATCTCAGTTAAACTCCTCCTTTCCGAAAGATATCCTTTTGAGTTGTCAAGTTTGTAGTGATAAAATTTGCAGATAAACTCCAAAATATAAATTAGGAGTGTGGATAAAAGTTTAAAACAGAAGGTTGTCACATTTCTTTTTCTGTTTGCCTCATAAAAACTTTTGAAAGCTAAGGAGGGATATTTACAAATGGAGCACAAAATCATCAGAACTTTTTTTTTCTTTCATAAGAAAAAGATAAACTAAATCTAAAATAAAGGTTTTTGAAAGCTAAGGAGGGATATTTACAAATGGAGCACAAAATCATCAGAAGTTTTTTTTTCTTTCATAAGAAAAAGATAAACTAAATCTAAAATAAAGGCAATACACCTTAAATTTTCAAGGTAGGATAAAAGCTATTTAAATTATTTATCAACAAAACGTTACACCTGACTCAGATATAACAGAAGCAAAGACTCTACTGTGACTTTGGCACACTATCAAATTAGAACCAATCAATTCTAGATTACATTTAGCATACAGAGGAGCAGGAGTTCAGCTAATGTCAAGCAGTAAAGTATCTAAAATTCAGCTCTAGAAGGGCCCAAGACATAATGCAGTAAAAAATGAGTATCAGAAAGATTCAATTTTGACCTTGATTATCCACAGCAGATTATGTATACCCTGAACAATGGTGGTTTTTAAAATAGTGTATGGAACTTCGTGTCACCAAAAGTGTTAGGTTGCCATATCCTATCTAGTTTAGAAACAATGAAAATTTTATCAATTCCCTAAAATATTTCTAAGAATGAACTTTGTTATTGAAAGATGTCTTCCAGGTCACCTTTGTGGTGTTTAGGCCTTCGATGTGCAAGCATCCGTTCTCCTTAAGTAACTGCTTCTTATGAATTAGGTTGAGATGTAAAGTACCACGTGACAGAGGTAAGACTGAGACAAACACACCAAGCCAAATGACATGAAGGCCAACATTTGAAGATGAAGAACGGAAAATGGTCAAGATCACACCATCACATCATGCAGAGAAACAAAGAAACATCGGCACAGAAGCAACAAATGGGCAAAAAAAAAATTTGATACCATCAGCAAAGGTCATTCTCACCAAAGCAAGAAAACTCTATAGACCAGCTCTACAGCTTTCTATTGGGGGGGGGGGTTCATGTAGAAATGCTACAGTCTAGCTCTCTACAAGCCTGACACAACCACGTATTGTATGATAAAACTGAAAACTCATGTATATTTACAGAAAATGGGATAGCTACTTTCTGTCTATGGAATCTACTGGTCTATAAAGTATGACATACATTTGGAAATTGTGCCTTACCTGATCTGTTATGCTCCAGAAGTCGGTGTTCTTTGCCCAGACCCGTGTCACTCTGTGTACTGTTGCAAGCCATGTTTAACTCTGTCTTGCAAAATGTAGGTGAGCTTGCCTGAGGCGCAGGAGGAATGTGCTTCTTTCTCTTTCTTGGAAGTTTCTGCTTCGCCATTGCCAAGGAGTAGTACATTCCAAAGTTGTTGACAATGACAGGCACAGGCATGGCTATTGTCAGCACTCCAGCCAGAGCGCATAAGGCCCCCACCAGCATTCCTGACCACGTTTGGGGATACATATCCCCATAGCCTAAGGTCGTCATGGTCACCACAGCCCACCAGAAGCCAATGGGGATGTTTTTGAACTGTGTATGCTCACTAGCTGAAGGGTCATTGGGCTGAGCTCCTACTCTTTCCGCATAGTAGATCATTGTAGCAAATATCAAAACTCCGAGAGCCAGGAAGATGATCAGCAGCAAAAATTCATTAGTGCTTGCGCGAAGAGTGTGTCCAAGCACCCTCAGGCCTACAAAATGGCGGGTGAGCTTGAAGATTCTCAAGATCCTCACAAACCTTACCACCCTGAGGAAGCCAAGCACATCTTTAGCAGCTTTGGATGAGAGCCCGCTGAGTCCCACCTCTAAATAGAAGGGGAGGATGGCCACAAAGTCAATGATGTTCAAGAGATTTTTGACGAATTCAAGTTTATTAGGTGAAAAAACAATACGGACTAAAAATTCAAAAGTAAACCACACCACACACACTCCTTCTATGTATGTCAAGGCAGGATCCGTTTCGATTTCATACTGCAGAACAACACTCGTGCCGTTGATGACTGGCTCTGTCTTGTTCTTAACAATATTGAAAGCTTCATGTGTTTCCAGGCAAAAGGTTGTGATTGAAACCAAGATGAAGAATAAGGAGGCAAAAGCAATAAACTGTAGGAGAAAAAGAAATAAAAATACAGAGTGATCTGAATCATCACATACTTTGACTCAAATCTGAAAACACTGATGCCTATAAACAAAAAAGAGTAATAGGACATTTGAAAATTTCACTTGGGATGCTTCTCAAGTTAAAGAGGCTGTAAGTAGCATCAATCAGACTGTCCATGTAAGGTGCTTCAACTTCTGTTTCCTGCTTATATAGAGATAAAATTTTGCTTTATGTTGGAGAATAATTTCCTGAAACTTTTGTTTAAAAAAATAGAAACCTGTGAAGAAAGCATAAAAATGACTTCAGGAGAGTTTTAAATGGCAACAATCTGGAAAAGAAAAGCAAAATATGACTCCAGATATTGCTTATGACCTAGAAATTTTCACATCAAGTTTTATACCTATGTTATTTCATACTGATGGGAATTTAGAAGCCACAAAAATTTAGCTGTCCATTTCTGTTTATAAATAAAATGTTCTGTGTGCCATGAGTTATGAACATGGAAAGAATATTTGCAATATATTCTAAAAAATAAAGTAAATCTAGGGGGAAAAAGCGAGGTGAGGAATGTGAAAGTAGAGGACCTGAGTTAAGGAGCACATTGCAATGCAGTTATCTTCCTCTGCCTAAAAATGGAACTTCAAAGTGCTGGAAGAAACAATTATGAGGTTCTACTTTTTAAATTAAGTACTTAATTTCTTATCACTAATGTATGAAAACATACACACTTCCAAATACAGATTAATCATAAGAACTCCCAGCTACATAATTCTAATGATTACTAGGTACTGTTAAATTGATTCACAACAAGCCACAAAATAACACTACCAGTATTATCATTTTATAGTTCAGGAATATCAGGAGTAAAGAGCTTAAATGAACTCTTCCTAAGTCAGTTGATATAAAATGATAGATGCAGGACACTAACCTGACAGATTCAGCTGTAGTCCCATTTCCTTAAGTTATCAAATTCCCAAATGAAGCATACAGCTATATTGGAAACCATTCTCTTACATTGGGACTCCATACTTCTTAGTATTCCAGACATGAATATCTGAAACCCAGGTATATGAATGGAGGGCACTGCCGTCCTGGAGGCTGGAGCATTTCAAAATGGCTGTAGGTCTCCAGTGTTCTCTCATCATCTCCCAGGTGCCGCATTTGCTGTAGAAAAGACCAACTGACACTCCTCACTTCTCAATGTGGGAGTCAATAAGAAGGCTGAGCATGTTCCAGGAAGAGATGGCCCTCCCTTTTCAGTCTAACAAACATGAGTGTCACACAAAATGTCTAAGCAATCAGTACTGTGACTCTGCCTTAGACCACGTTTGGGGATACATATCCCCATAGCCTAAGGTTGTCATGGTCACCTCATACATCAGCTCCTTGGTGAGGAAATTCTCATAATGCAGATATTGTATGGGCTATATCAATTTACCTCAATATAAACATTCAATTAGATTTCCAGATAGAAATATATAATAGGAAGATAGGATGTTGAGAAAATAAATTATTATTATTTTCATCAAAGAGTAAACTTTCCTTTTAGTTTGAAAATAAATAAAACTGGGTTCTACAGCTTACAAATACCAAACTTTCAAAATTGATTTGAATTCTTATAAACTATAGTCATTTACTTTGTTTGATGTTTTCACATGTTTAATAATAATTTTACCTGACTGCAACTACCTTGAAGACAGGGAATTTCATATTCTGTCCTTAGAGTCAAGGACAGGACCTGACTAAAGGCAAGAAGAGGGTGTTCAGTTCCTATTACTGATTAGTAAAGGGATAGATATTTTAACTATGTTGCTGGAATATGCTTAGATTCCAATAGCCCTAAGGCAGAATCATTCTTCTCATTCACCTATTGATGCATAATCAGGAACCTTGGCCCATAATATAAACTTTAAAGGGGGAATTTTTGTGAAGAAAATAAAATCAAACTGTATCTTATTAAACACAATCAAGCAATTTAATGTTTGAAAATTAACATTATAAAAGAGATTTTTAAGTTATTAAAATACATAATATGGAATTTCTCATTTGTTAACTCTATTGTTAACTCTAACTTTCCTGGGATCCACAATTGAGCTTTGCCAGTTAATCATGTGGCTTTATACTATTTAGAACTATGTACTCCATCTCCTTCCCTATGGAACACTCAGCTTTTAAAATTCCTCCTAGCCTTTACCAAATCAATGTAGGGACTGAAGAGATGACTCAGTAGTTAAAAGCACCTATTGCTCTTGCAGAATACCCAGGTCTGGTTCCTAGAACCCACATGGCATCTATTAACAGTCTGTAACTCCAGTTCCAAGGGATAGTCACTCTTTTCTGGTCTCCATGGGCATTGCATGCACCTTCAAGCATGCAGGCAAAGTAACAACATGCATAAAGTAAAAATAAGTAACTCAAAAGGTTTGTACAAACAAAAACAATGTAATCAATTTTCCTTTGCTTTGAACTCCTATGCTTCACCCTTACAAGCTAAACTTTAACCTTATACCCTGTTCCCTATTATGACTCTCTTATGCCCCAGCTAGGAATAATGTATGCATGTGATGTGGTAATTAGACCTAAGACTTCGACTGAAACAATAATAACATGAAAACAATGTGCCCTACCCATACAAGTGTCAAAAACAACACATAGACATAGGCTGATAATATCTGTTTTCTGATTTGTGTGCTGGTTTGGATTAGTGGGTTCAGAAAAGTTCATCTTTCCCTTGTAAACTCTGGCTAAAGATTCTTGGAGACAAAGTTCCTCATTGTTTCCATACACCCTGACTGATATGCTGTTCAACAAGTACAAAAGGAGGACCTTTGTTCAAGAGGACAGAACAGGACAGTTCTGAGAGAAATCAGAACACTTCAGAACAGATCAGACTCACTCTTGATTAAATGACTCCAAGAGGTAGTTTTTCTTTCATGAGGCACCACCATACCCATGAAATAAATCCATTTTAGTGTGTGGACTAAGAATGTTATATGTTTTAAAATTTGGAATGCCTCATTTTTATTATATTCTTAAGGCTTTCATTCTTAAATAATGAAATAAGAAGAGCAAAATTTCAAATACCAAAGTATCAGAAGTTCATGGAAGCCCTGATGCATTTGAACTTTGGGAAATCTGCCATGCTGAGTATTTTTAGAAAAGCACATAAAGGATTAGAAGGCTATGCAGTGAGCTATTATTTGAACTTTGAAAAAAATGTACAAGTACACAAATTTATGATATGTCCATAATATAACTTTAACAAGTAAAGTAGCTCAACCTCTTTTTATTTGAAGTGAACTCCAAAGAATCAAGTTAAATTAAAAATAAACAGCTGTGGAACAATAAGATACAGAGTCCAATTCCACTTCTTTTCATACACCTTTAGAAACAAATAAGCAAATATATTTCAGCAGTAACATGGATATAAAAGAATAGTATCAGATGGGGTATTGCTAAAATCTTGTCTGTAAAAGTTAGATTTCTGTACAAAAATTTTAATCATGTAGTTTAAGTTTAAACTACAAAGTTCAAAGAAAAAAATGACCAATAGGATTAAATTTAGATTTTAAAAACTTAGATCACTCTGAACATTTTGTTGATTTTATTAGTCTACAATTTGCCATCTTAATTTTTTATTTGCTCCTACAGCATCCTAACCTTAAAGATACTCTTGAGTCATAATTAGGAAAAGTGCTGTACTCTTCATGGAACTGTGATCTCAAGAAAGACAAGACAAATCTCTTTCACTAGTAATTCTCTTCACAAGGGCCAGCCAAACAGTAATAACTGGGACTCCATGTCTGCTGCTGCTATGAAGAACTGAGAATGACTTGAGTTTTTTTTCAGGCTGGAAACATCAAGTTTGCTTTATCCAAGTTTTCCCATTTAAAAATAGAACCACAGATTTTCTTGCACTTTGAGAACTGAATTAAAGTGGAGAAAGCTGATCCTTCTCCAACAGAGATGATTACGGAGCATATGATTACCCAGTTCAGATATCAATGGAAACGATTAAATTTCTAGAATCTGTATATTGGTATGTATATAATGTTACCTATATACACATAAAATACATTTAGTTGCATGATATATATTATTCATAAGTATAGCTTATAGAAAGACATGCTTATATTATACATATAGGTCTGGAAATTAATATAACACAATGTAACATTCATTTCTTAACAAGAAAGTATTCCCAGGTGTTGATTTAACCATTGACATCTATGTTGGCGCTAAAAATATAAATTCTGTTCTGCTTTGTTTCAGGAATATATTTGTCCAATATAAGCATAAAACATTTCATTTATAGTTTTACTTATTTTAATATTTATTTATTATTTTCATTTTATGTGTATGAGGGTATTGTCTGCAAGTGTATAAGTGTACCAGTGTTGTGCAATGCCTGTAGAGGTCAGAAGAGAGTATCAGATTCTCCTGAAACCGGAATTATAAGCACTTTTTGGCTGCCATGTAGGTACTATGAATCCAACCTGGGTCTTCTGCAAGATCAGCCATGCTTTTAACCACTAAGTCATCTTTCCAGCCCCTAGTCCTTTTATTTCTATGCCACAGACTAATTTCACTGAGATTGCAATTGTTTAGAGTCTACCCACATCCAAGTATAGTTGGGGGGGGCAGGTACAAGTATGAGAAGGTTATATGTATTATTGAAATAAATTATGGCATACAAAGTTAGGTAACTAGCATTAAGTAACCAGTTATGAATGCACAGGACTGTCTTACTTTCGTAAGTCTCATGGTGAAATTTTAAAGTGTTTTTGTATTCACCTATTTCATGAAACTAATTTTTATAACTGTTTCATCAGACTGAGAAAAAATATTACTTCTCAGTTATAAGGATGATTAAAAAGGTATATAACATATTGTCAGACATGGGAAACCTCCCCTTGAGTTGTTGGTAATAGTAGTACAACAGACTCCCAAAATAATACAGGCTATTGCCACAGCTCTTGATTGTCTCCCAGAATTTGAAAGT